GTTGGTGGAGTGAGTTTGTAGTGGAAGGTTGCACTGATTACAAGCTCAGTATGAAACTGAAGTTGCTGAAACTTAAACTCAGAGAATGGAGTAAGCAAGTGGGTGGGGACCTAGTCACTAAGAAAAACAAGTTGTTATTTGAATTAACTGATATTGATCAGGCACAAGACTCAAGACAGTTGACAGAGGATGAGCTAATGGTGAGGGCTACAATTTTGGTAGAATTGGAAGAACTGGCAAAAATTGAGGAGTCTAGGTGGAGACAGAAATCCAGGATTTTATGACTGAAATAGGGAGACAACGATACTAGGTTTTTCCAGAAGATGGCTACTGCTTACAAAAGATATAATAATATAGACAGACTGATAATTAGAGGAGAGGAGGTTAAAGAGCCAAAAGTCATTAAGGTGAATATGATTGAGTTTTATAAAAAGCTCTATACTGAAACAGAGTTATGGAGGCCCTCTTTCGAGTATGTAAACTGCCCTAGAATCTCCCAAGAGGAACAAGACTGGTTACAAAGGCCTTTCAGCGAAGATGAAGTGTTAAATATAATCAAACAATGTGATGGTGAGAAGGCACCTGGACCTGATGGATTCACCATGAGTTTCTTCAAAGTGTGTTGGGAGACTTTGAAGGAGGACTTGATGCAGACAATTCACAATTTCCACCAGAAGGAAGCTTTTGAGAAATCATTCAATGCCACATTTGTAGCTTTAATTCCTAAAAAGCATGGAGCAGAAGAGTTGAAGGATTTCAGACCAATAAGTTTGATTGGTGGAGTATACAAAATCATAACCAAGCTTCTCACAGAAAGAATGAAGAAGGTCATGGGGGTTTTGGTTGATGAGCACCAAATGACTTTTCTTAAAGGAAGGCAGATAATGGATGCATCATTGCTAGCAAATGAACTAGTGGACAGTAGGGTGAAACAGAATCTACCAGGAGTCTTATGCAAACTGGACATTGAGAAGGCCTACGACCATGTAAATTGGTCCTTCCTTTTAAAGATTCTGAGAGATATGGGCTTCGGAAACAAATGGATCAACTGGATTAAGGTCTGTATATCTACTGTGAAGTTCTCCCTTATCATTAATGGCAATCCTGAAGGGTTTTTTCAGTCACAAAGAGGTTTGAGACAAGGTGACCCATGTCACCATTCCTATTTATCTTAGCTATGGAGGGTCTCAACTTCATGATCAGGAAAGTAGTTTAAAATGGGTGGTTGCAAGGTTTCAGCGCAAATGCAAATAGGGGAGATGCTATGGAGATCTCACACCTGCTTTATGCAGATGACTCCTTGGTCTTCTGTGGAGCTGAAGTAAATCATATAAGACACTTGAGGGCCATCTTAACCATCTTTGAGGGAATATCAGGACTCCATGTCAATTGGCATAAAAGTTGTTTATACCCAGTTAATCAGGTTGCTAATATGCAGGTGCTAGCTGAGAACCTAGGATGTCAGGTGGCCTCCCTTCCAACAAAGTACCTTGGAATGCCCCTTGGTGCTAAGAACAAAGAGGTGGAAGTTTGAAATGAAGTACTAGAAAGATGTGAGAAGAAGCTGTCAAGGTGGAAAAGCCAATATCTATCCTTGGGAGGCAGAATAACTCTTATCAAATCTGTGATGGATGCACTTTCTACTTATATGATGAGCCTATTCCCAATACCAAGAAATATAGAGAAGAAAATCAACAAATATAGAAGAGTCTTCCTGTGGCAAGGAAATAAAGAGAAGCTTGGGTATAATCTGGTTAAATGGGATGTAGTGACACTCAACAAAATGCAGGGTGGTTTGGGTTTAAAGAAGTTGAATATGCAAAATATCAGCTTGTTGAAAAAATGGCTATGGAGGTTCTGTAGTGAAGATATGGCTTTGTGGAGGAGATTCATATCACAAAAATATGGTCTCCAAAACAATTGGATCACTAAAGAAGCAAATGGTACCGTTGGTTGCTCTGTCTGGAAGACAATCAGAAGACTGTGGCCATCCTTTATCCCCAATCTATCCTTTAAGATTGGGAATGGGGTGAAAACCAGTTTCTGGAATGAACTTTGGCTAGGGGAAGAGAATTTGAAGATCATGTTCCCAGATCTTTATGTATTGAGCCTACAACAGATGGACACTGTGGCACAAGTGTGGAGCCCTCAAGGTTGGGATTTGATCTTTAGGAGGGCTTTAAATGAATGGGAGGTTGATAGAGTAGCAAGATTATTACACACACTAAATGCTTTTTCAGGTGTCACTGAAAGTCCTGATACTCCAATCTGGAAAATGCACAAGAAAGGGATTTTTTCTGTGAAGTCTTGTTACTGGAGCTTAAACTCTAACCAGGCTATGGAAATGGAATGGCCTTGGAAACTAATCTGGAAAATCAAGGTTCCTCACAAGGTCTCAGGTTTTATTTGGTTGGCAATTAAGAAAACATGTCTAACTCATGAAGTGTTACAAAGAAGAGGTATACAGATTTGCTCAAGGTGTTTCATGTGTGGGGAAAAGGCAGAAGTTAATAGTCACTTATTCTTACACTGCAGAACAGCTGCAAATCTGTGGGACATGTTTTTATGTATACTTGAAATTAACTGGGTAATGCCCAAAACTACTTTAGAGTTGTTGAGACAGTGGGAAGGAGTGGGCAGAAGAAGAAGATCCAAAGAGGACTGGTGGAAATGCATCCCAGCCTGCATCTGGTGGACATTGTGGAAGGAAAGAAATGAAAGATCACATGATGGGAAACTTAACAGCACTCAGAAAATCAAGATGAATAGCTTGGGCCTGCTGTATTTTTGGTGTAAACAGGATTTGGTGGGGGAGGTAGATAGCTTAGTGGATTTTAAAGCTCAATTGTAAAGTTTTGCCCAGTTTTTGGCTTTTGAAATTACCCCCTGGAGGCTGTAAATCCCACCTCATCAGGCTTTGCTGATGAGTTTTGATGTGAATATAAAGTTACCTTATCAAAAAAATAAAAATAAAGAAGGCTTGATGAAATATTATTAATGAATTGAAAAGTTATAATAAATGATAAATTAATGATATTATTGGATCGGAGTGTCACGTTTTGACACAGTATAATTGGATCGGAGTGTCACATTCCGACACGGTATTATTGGATCGGAGTGTCACGTTCCGACACGGTATAATTGGATCAGAGTGTCACGTTCCGACACGGTATTATTGGATCGGAGTGTCACGTTCCGACACGGTATATTTGGATCGGAGTGTCACATTCCGACACGGTAACATTAAAGGAAAAAGATATTGAATTAACTTAATGTACTCAATCTCAAAGAACTCAATTCCCAAATTAGTTTGGTTTGGAGGCATGAGTCCTCATGTGTGATCTTGATATTGTTGATTGATTACGTACTTACTTTAGTGTTGTTGACACTGGTTCATGTGTTTGGTGCTTGCCACCTGCTAAGTGTCATAGTTGATTTTATACTATTATTCATTACATATTAGTTTCTATTTTGGGTTGGCTAATGACATCTACTCAGTACATGTTACCCTGTACTGAGCCCTACTTGTATTTTTCTTTGTTTTCTTTTTGTGGAGTGCAGCGAGTGTATCAGTGACTTCGACCCGCCCCCAGCTCTAGCCAGTCTCCAGCACATCAGGTTCCAGGGTGAGCTATCCATTCCAGCTCGTGTTGGATTCTCTTGGTCATGGCATGATGTCCTTAGTTTTCGGATATAAACTATTTTATTCATTTATTTTGGTGTCTTTAATACTCTTAGACTTAGTATTTTGGTGTCCTTGATGTGATGACTTTTAGATTTTAGGGATAATAAGTGTTAGACTTTAGAGGTTTATTTGATTGGTTACTTTAATAAGTTTTGAGCTTCCCCATTATTGTTGTTGTTATTCGTAGTTGAATTATTGATATATGTTGGGGTTTGGATTCCTTGGTTCGCCCACTTAGGAGGTTAAGTGTGGGTGCCATTCACGACTCATTTTGGGTCATGATAATTATTGCAATAGGATCGGTAAGGTAAGGTCTAGCCCCCCTTGCTTGTACTCTTCTCTTTGAAGGTTCTTTTATTTATTAATGAAAATTTCTTAGTTAAAAAAAAAACTATTATTTGTGTTGAATTTTTAAAATTATAAATCAAATCAAACTAATAAACTTGGATTGACTTCTTTAGTTAAAACCAAATTAATCCAATTCAGGTATTTTTTCCGGTACCAAATCAAATCAAATCATTAGTTAGATTTTTTTTCAATTTGCTCGATCTGCAATTTTATTTAATTTTCGATTCAATTTTATATATTCCGATCATGCCCCATGAGTGAAATGGTATTACATAGTATTATTTTCTGGTCACCAAAAGAAAATATTAGGCAAATTTATTTCACTTGCAACTAAAATTCATCATATATTTATAATAAAATACAGATATATTAATACCGCTTTTATTGAACTTTTAAATTAACATGTTGGCACCTTTTAGTACACAAATGGTATTGTCAACTTTTGTTTTCTTTTAGAAAAAACATTATTGGTACAGTACCGTACATTGATTCCATGCAGGGGCGGCTTTAGGCCTCAAGAAACATTACACTATCGGCCGAGTTTGTATTAACTTACAAAATTTTAGATTCTAATCTGACATTTTATTATATTATTTTCATATTTTCCAGAAGGAATATTAAGACATTGGTCTATAGGTCCATAAGTTATAATAAAAATAAAAAGATATCATTTACTAAACAATTACTCCATTTTTAAAATGTTTCAAGAAAAGTAAATATCAACTTAAAGATATAAATTAGTTTATTCAGAACTCAATATACATGTTAGAAAATTATATTTTAAACGTGATCAATAGCTTTACTACTTAAGAAGCTAGACAATAAATTGTGAATTGAAATAAATACAATTTCATTTAACTAACTTTAAAGCCTCTTTATATGATTTGACTTTACACCACAAGATTTGTTAAGCCGTCTCTCATATATATTAATGTTATGTTACGTTGTATTACACCGCGTACACAAAATGGACCTCTTCCTCCTCTTTATTGCAACCTTGCTTGCTATGATCATCATCAATATTTTGTTCAAATATTTCTTTGCCAACCCTAAAGAAAAAAACACTCTTGTTCCTCCTGGTACTTTTGGTTTGCCTATTATTGGAGAAACCATTCACTTTCTTGTATCACTTTACTATGGATTGGTACATGAGTTTGTTCAAGAAAGAACAAAAAAATACAACTCTAATGTATTCAAAACCTCAATACTTGGCCAAAAAGTGGTGGTTTTTTCAGGTCCAAATGCTAACAAATTCATATTCACTAGAGGCAATAAACTTCTTATTGGTTGGAGGCCTAATTCTGTTCAAAAACTTTTTCCTTCTACATCATTTGTTCCTATAGAACATGACACTAAAAGAGCACAAAATGTTATGAGCTACTTCTTAAACTCACAAAATGTTGAAACACTTATTAATACTATGGACTATATGTCACATACACATTTGGAAAATCATTGGAAAGGGAATAATGAAGTAATAGTGTATGATCTAGTGAAGTTATTCACTTTCATACTTTCTATTAGAGTGTTTATGGGCATCGAAAACTCGGATAAAATATTGAATCTTTATGAAAAATTCAATATTTTTTCTCGAGGTCTTTTGGTGTTGGACATAAATTTTCCAGGTACAACATTTTATAAGGCAATGAAAGTAGGAAAAGAATTAAGGAAGGAAATGAAGGCTATTATCGAAGAAAGAAGAAAAGAATTACTAGAGAATCCAAATTTGTCTAAGGTTGATGTGTTAACACAAGTGATTAATGAAAAAGATGAAAATGGCAAGTGCATGAGTGAGGTAGAAATGATTGATAAATTGTTTGGATTTATCATTGGTAGTTACCATACTACTGGTACAGCTATTACTTTGATCATGAAGTATCTTGAAGAGAAGAATGAGTTCTTCAATGACATAGTCCAAGGTATTTCTTATCAATTATTTATTATCTAGGATTTGACCTATTGAACATTTGATTTATGATAGTTTGGGGTCGTGTGGTTGTTGATTAGAGTTATGCAGATATTAGTAATGCAAGGATTAATCATGCATATGGCTTATTCATGTATTATACTAATTCATGTATTAGTTATTCCGTCTTATATTCACTCATATATAATCACTACAACAAAAGAGACATCTAATAATGGGAATAGAATTTCCTTTTAGTATTGCCGCAAAAATATTTAGCAGTAATTGAATTAATGTCATTGCATTCAGAGTCGCTAAAGTCTTTAGTGACATTTATATAGAGGGTTGGTTATAAATACTCATATACATTATTGCCGCTAAATATAATATAGCGACAATTATACCATTACAACAAAATCATTTATTTATTATAGTGAATCTATTATTTTTTTTTTTGTGAGATTGTGAAATAATAACCATACATCATATTTGATGTGCTGAATTTTATACAAAGCAGCCAAATATGAAATTAGAAAGAATAAACCAAATATGAAATGAGATGGAAAGACTTAAAAATTTCAACTTGAGAAGGACTAAAATAGAGTAGATGTATGTAGTGCAAGTTCAGTATTGCTATCACATGAGATGGATATGAAATTGAGGATTGTTACACAAGTAATCTCTACGAGAAAAAACTTCAAGTACCTTGGGTCAATAATCCAAGAAAATAGAAAGATTAAAGATGATGTCACACATCATATATATTGAAGGGAGTGTCCTATTTAATAAAAATATGTAATCAAGACTTAAAAGTAATTCGTGTTGCGTGCTTGTTAGATCAATTACTATGTTGTATGCGACATAGTCTTAGTCAATAAAGAGCCCACAAGTTCATATGACGAAAATAGTGGAAATGAAGATGCTTAAATGGGTGTGTGTGCATATTATGAGAGGCAAGATTATGAATGAAGATATACATGACAATGTGGAAGAAGCCTTCATGATCGAAAAAATGTGAAAAGCCAGATTGAGATGGTTCGATAATGTAAAGAGGAGGAATACATGTGACCTAGTGTGATTAATATGCAAGTGGTTGACAATGATATGTATAAAGGAAGATAGAGATAGACCGAAAAAATAATTGAGATAAGATGATTAGATAAGACATGACTCATCTCCGACTTTGCGAAGGCGATAGATTTAACAAAAAGGGCCAATGAATTCTATCCTTAATAGGAAATTAGAAACGCAAAATAAAAATAAAAATAGGAGCCTGAATTTTCTTTATTATAGAGTGTTGGCAATTCATGCCATGCAATTAACATGCCATAAATCCTTATGTTGACACCACGTCCACATGTGTCCATAGGCTTAGGAATAGTTGATAAGTTGTTTATTTTTTAATAAACTATGAAATGATTAAAATACTACAATAAATACTAATCAATATCTTAATCAAACTAAAAATGCATTCTTATAAACTGAATAATAATAAGTTTGGTTGACCAATTCCACCACAATCTACCTTCCTTCTCAACTAGGATTTGAAAGATAGTTGATGTATTCCACTAGGATTTCTTACATCAACTAACAATGTAACCAAAAATATGTTGTAGAAAGTTATATTTCTCAATTTTCTAGAGATCAAGATTATATACATCGATAATGTAAATAATTTTCATATTATTATTTAATTCATCGGCTATTTCATTTTTCTATTTATCATATCATGTTTGTTATATAGAGTTTTATGTTATTATAAGTCAACTTAATTTTAACATTCAAAAAAATATCACACAATATAAAGAATTTTATGATATCATGTTATTTTTACTTGCCATAGCATAAAACCTCCCTTATTTCTCAAGATTGAAAATCTTACTAATTATGAAGAATTATGTATAGTTATCTTTTTGATGATCTGATAGTTTAAATTTTTCGGTATTATATATGTGTAATATAATTTTTTTTTATATGACAGAGCAAAATGAGATTTCAAGGAATATGATGCCAAGGGAGGTGCTATGTTGGAATGACATTCAAAAAATGAAGAAAACTTGGAACTTTGTGAATGAAGTATTAAGAGATACACCAATTCTGCAAGGTACTTTTAGAGAAGTCGTAGAGGACATCACTTATGATGGCTTCCTCATACCAAAAGGATGGAAGGTAAAACTTTAGCCTTTTAATTTAAAATGTATGAAATTAAACAATTAAATGGACATTGACCTCATACGTCTCCTCATTCAATTCTTTTGAATTCATTGGATCTTTTTCCGCAAGTCATACATGATTATGAACATAATATACTAAAGTGTTAATTTTGCAGATATATTTAAGTGTTGGAGCTACACAAAAGAATGGTGAATACTTCCCAAACCCTACAAAATTTGATCCTTCTAGATTTGAAGGGAATGGATTAGTTCCCTACACATCAATTCCATTTGGTGGAGGACAAAAAATGTGTCCTGGAAAAGAGTTTGCAAGAATAATGATTCTTGTTTTCCTTCATCATGTACTCAAAAAATTTAGGTGGGAAGCTAAGGTTCCTTCAGAAAAAATATTATGCCCTTTTTTCTTAGTACCTGTCCCAACAAATGGATATCCTGTTACCCTTTATAATGTGTAAGCTTCTTTATTTTCAAGATATAAATATGTGTGTGAGAGAGAGGATGTAATATAAGTTATATATATGTATGTGTGTGTGAGAGAGAGAGAGGGGATGCAATAGAAATAATTAATGTCCTTGTATTTGATGATTCCTCTTTATCAATGAAATAAAGGTTGTCTTCTAAGATGATTTACAATAAAGTAATAGAGAAAATGGCCAAAACCCCCTTAATTTATATCCGAATTTTTAACTATACACTTTAACTTTACAGGAGTCCTATCACCCCTGAAGTGCTTATTCAAAATTGATTGTTATTTATATTCCTAGGAATATCATCTATATATTGTCATAACCTCAAATGACTTTAGTCATAACGTGCATGTAGAAGAACAATCATATTAAGATGGTTATATTTATCTTTTAAATCATCCCACAACAAACAAGAAAATCTTTAATAATGAGACGTTTCACTTAAAGCCCTCATTAAGATAATGACGAAAAATTATCATTGTCTTGTTATAGTCTTGATTTGATACCTAATTTTTATTTTTGATACTACCTGTCATATCAAATCGCATCAAGGTGAACTTGGATATCCAATACCCAAAATAGGTAGTTTTTACCGATATATTCAGGATAAAAAAATTCAAGTTAAAATAAATTGTCATTATCTAAGAAAAAAATTCATACCTTTGATACTTTCAAAGTATATTTCTCAGAATGAAAAAAAAAAAACTTGTATTAATAATATGTTATAAAATAAAAATAGGAGCAAGTGTATTATCATAGTACTTTTTTTTTCACTTTCTTTATATCACCTTTTCAATCAAAAAAAGGCTATATAATAAACCTTCAAACTTGGGTAATTTTTTTTTTCTGCTATACTAGTGATAATAATACTTAGTCATCAAGCATACTACAATGCAATTCACATGGCCATTCACCTAATTTTACAACAAATATCTTTTTTTTTTCTTTCTAAAGCTTTTTTGTTTGTGCTTCTACAAGTATTGACAAACTATAAATAGAAGTAGTTGGGATTGTGGGCCTAGTAAATTTTGTCATATGTCAATTTCTTTATAATGTTGTATTTTTCTATTTGGACTATCTTTCTTATTTCAATTATAAACTATACGTGAACATTTTCTTTAGTATATTACTCCCTTCAATCCATTTTATTGTCGTGCTTCCTAAAATTAACAAATTTAAAATAATTATTATTTAAAAAAATTAAATATAATTAATTAATTATGTTTGTGTTTTTATGAGTTTAGAGACCCTTGTGTGATGGCGCACTACCATCGCACAAGGCAAATCTAAGATTATTTCTCTATTTTCAATAGTGGCGTAGCTAGAAATTTAACAAAGGATATCCAAAAATCCTATAGGTAATAAAAATAATTTAACGAATAAGTGCACGTAAATTTTGTAAATCAAACTTCGTAATATTAATGATACCAAAAAATCCAAAATCAAACTAAATAATTACTTTTATATTTTATTTAAATTTTTAATGAAAAGAAAAAAAAGTGGTTTCAATTGGCTGCTGAGTTTTTTGTCCCTTAAATTTTTAAGTTATATTTTTTGAATTATTTTAGAAAATAATATATTTATTAGCTACAATTAAGAAATTGATTAGGAGCTCTTTTGAAAATGTTAAAAAAAAAAGTGAAGCCAAAGGGAATTAAACCCACGCTCAACATGTAGCATTGACCTTAGGTTATTGATTGAAACCACTAAGCTAAGAAAATTTATTGTTTCAAGGGTGTTCAGAAGGTCTCATTTAACCATTTAAAGTATTATTTTACTTATATATACAGTGCAATTTTTTGACGAAGGGTGTACAGTTGGACAATGGACATCCTCAACCTAGTGTAGCTACCCCCCTGATTTTCAATACTAATGCGATAGACAGTTAGTTTACAAAACGTTTTGAAATTTGTATATACAGTTTTTTTTCTGACGAAGAATGTCCAATTGGACACCCACCCTGCACATGGCTCCAACCCTTGCACATAATGATACATTATTCTCCAATTATTGAACTAATAATTATTCGAAGATGCATTAATTTTTTTGGAAAAATCTTTTTGGCCAAAATGATATTTTATTTATGTTATTTTACCTTTTAAAACATTTTTACCCTTTTCATTTTAATACTTTTTAACTAAAAAAAAAAAAAAAATCAGTTTATTTTAAAATAAAAAAAATATTATAATTTTTTTAATTGTGAAAATTTCATATATGACATATATTAGACTAATATTTTCAAGTTATAGTAGTAGAATTAAACTTTCAAGTTGTAATAATAAAAAATTTCAGGTTGTAACAGTTTCTTAAAAAAAAAGTTTTTTAAATAATTGTAAAAATTTGTTTTGAAAAAAATAAAATAATTCGTTTCTGAAGAAAAAAAGGTAAAAAAACGGAAATATGTGTGTTAATTAAATTTGAATTGATTGAAGATAATTACTAATTAGCATAAATTAAGTAAATTCAAACTAACTAAGAATATTTAGTTTCCTTATTTCACTCTGATTTGTTAAAATTAATTAAAAATTCTGATTTTATCCATTTTCTTCCACGTTTCTCTCTCTTCGATTTTTTTCCAGAAATCTTGTCACTGACGACTAATTCAAGTTTTTTTTTGTTTGAAAAATCTTGATTTTGTTGTGATGGACAACTACTTATTTATATTAATTAAACATGGTGGAAGATGGAATCCTTCATGTTAGTATTTTTTATGATTTATTGTTTGTATTTGTATTTCAATGAAATGAAAAAAAAATTGAGCAATGAAACTGTAAATCACATTTTGTGATTTTATTTTTGTAAATCGTTAGTAGATTTATGTGGTGATATTATTTGTATAAACAACGTATTTTGTTGATAATAAGTAATAATTTTTTTGAAACTGTAGTTATTAATTTTGTTGGTACATTTTTTTTTTGTTATTTTGTATACTGTAAAAATCAGGCATTAGTGTGAAATTGGCTTAATATATGAATGTGTAGTAGTTTTATTGTTGTAAAGTTATGAAATTTGTGGGGAAAACAGTATGAAATTTGTTGTAACATAATTATGAAACGGGTATTTCTTTAGTCGATTTGATAATAATGAGATTAATGTATGAAATTCGGTATGCAGATTAAAATTATAATATGAAATACCGTTTTTATTTTCTGAAAATATAAATAAAATGTATATGTAGGAATGAATTTGGTAGTGTAAATGGAATGAAATTGGTATGAAAGTGGATTCACTATTGTGTAAAAAATATTAGTAAGAAGCATGAAGTTTTGTATGAAAAGTGTATTAATTTGTTATGAAATGTGAAAGTTATTTTTTATATAATGTCTGTTATGGTGTGAATGATTGTAGACTGTTTTAGAATGATATTGCTATGAATAGTATTGACGATTGCGTATAAATTTGTGTGAGAAGATTGAACTAAATGGTATGAAAAATTATTCAGTATTGTGTAAAAAGTATGAGTAAGAAGTATGATTATTTGTATGAAATGTGTATTAAGTTGGTGTGAAATGTGAAATGTTAGTTTTTTATGAAATCTGGTTTAGGGTATGAAGTTTGGTATACTGTCTGAACGATATGTTTCTGGTTAAAAATTAGAGATTTTTTTTTTGGAATTTGTATACTACTAATACCAGACATGTACGACAATCGATAATTTGTACACTACTAATTTGTGAATGTATACTGATTAAAAATGTCTATAACTAAATTTGTTCATTCTTTGTATGAACCATTATTGATTTTTTGGGATGTATTTTCGATATAAAAATTGACGTAAATTTTGTATGAAATTGGTATAATAGTAAAATCAAAATTGTATGGAAATTTATAGTTTTTATGGTACAAATCTGGTATGATTCAATTTTTATTTTTGACATTATATTGATATGAAATTGTGCATAATAGTGGGATGAAATTGGTATACTATTTATTTAATAAAAGACAATTACTAGTTATAAATTGTATGATTTTGTATTCTTTTTGGCATGAATATTGTATGAATCAGTGTTTACTTTTGGCATGAAATAGGTATAGAAAGTATGCATAAAAATGGTATAAAATTTGTATACTGATATAACATATGTATAAAAGTAAGATGTACTTTTGTATCTTGTAATACCGACACAATAATTTATGATGGAACAGAAAAATATGCAATTCAAAAGGTGTCAGAGCATAAATTATTGTCACCTGGTTCAAAATGATTGTAGGGAGACCACAACTTGAATGCTGGAAAGGGTTTGGTGATTTGAAATTCAAGAGGTTTAAGGTTACGTGCAATACATGTCGTCGGGGGGACACAACAGGAAGACATGTTCAAATTACCCTGCTGAAAAAAAAGACATGAGTTATTTTTATTTTTATTTGGTTGTTTTATTGTGACAACCGCATGTTTTGATTTATTTTATCTTTTAAGTTAATGACTTATACATTCAGAACATTTATTATGTGTACTAATTAATCATTTGTGTATTTAGTGTTTTTAAATGTATAGTAAAAAATTAAATAATGCTGGTATGCAATTGATATCAACTCGAAAAATTAAGTCAAATCTTAGTATGAAATTGGTATACATTCGGTATTAAACTGATGTCCAGTGGTAAAATTGAAAAAAACAACATCTAATTGCAATTTCAACTGAAATAGTCAACCTAAAACTAGTTAATGGTGTATCCAAATTGTACATTTGGTATGAACTGATATCTCATTGAAACAATTGAAAAATAACATGTAATTGAGATTTCAACCGAATTAGTCAACCTAAAACTAGTTGATGTTGTACCCAATTGGTATACATTTGGTATCTAACTGATATCCAATTGAAAAAATTGATAAAACACGTAATTAAGATTTCAACTAAATTAGTCAGCCTAAAACTAGTTAATTTTGTACCCAATTGGTATACATTTGGTATCAAACTGATATCCCATTGGAAAAATTGAAAAAAACATGTAATTGAGATTTCAACTGAATTAGTCAGCCTAAAA